TAGCAGTTACAGGTTCATAGAAAGATGAGCAGATAGTACAGATAGTTCCCATACATAACAACCCCTCCCCCACCACACTCACACATACACACACAGTTTCCCCTATTATTAACATCTTCCTTACCATGATACATTTGTTGCAATTGATGAATCAATATTCATATTTATTAACTCAAGCCCAGAGTTTACATTAGGATTCATTCTTCACATTATAACGTTCTATGGGTTTTGACATAGGCATAATGTCAGGTATTCACCAATACAGAATCATACAGAATAGTTGCACTGCCCTCAAGTTCCCCTGTGCCCTACCTGCTCAACACAGCCCCCACCTTCCCGTGAACCCTGGCGACCACAAATCTTTCTATAGTTTTATCTCTTTAAAGTTTCATGTAGTTGAAATCATATAATATGTAGCCCTTTTAGATTAGCTTTGTTCACTAAGCAATATGCATTTAAAGTTCCTCTGTATCTTTTTGTGGCTTGAGAGCTCATTTCTTTTTATGATTGACTAATGTTTCATTGTATGTATGTACCAGTTTGTTTATCCATTTACCTTCTGAAGAACATTTTGGTTGCTTCTAGTTTTTGACAATTGTGAATAAAGATGCTATAAACATGTATCCAAAATAAATGAGTCTTAAAACCCAACAATAAGAAAACAGCCCAAATTAAAGATGGACAAAAGATCTGAACAGATACTTTGCCAAAGAAGATATACAGATGGCAAATAAGCATATGAAAAGATTTTAAACATCATATTTCACTTGGTAATTACAAATAAAAGATTATAGCTCCCCGTTTATTTTTTTCTTTAGCGTCTTGATGCAATGGATTGCATTAATTGATTTTCAAACGCCAAATCAGTTCTCAGATACCTGGAATAAATCCCACTTGGTTGTGGTGTATAATTATTTTTATATAGTATTGGATTATATTCGCTAATATTTTGTTGAAGACTTTGTGTCTATGTATATGAGCGATACTGGCTTGTAGTTTTTCTTCCTTGTAATGTCTTTATCTCGATTGGGTATTCGGGTGATATTGACCTCCCGGAATAAGTTAGGAAGTATTCCCCCTGCTTCTATTTTCTAGAAGAGATTGTAGGGAGCTGGTATCATTTCTTCCTTAAATGTTTGATAGAATTCACCAGGGAACCCATCTGGGCCTCGTGCTTTCTGTTTTAGAAGGTTATTAACTATTGATTCAAATTCTTTAATAGATAAGGGCCCAGACCATCTATTCCTCTTTGTATAAGTTTGGGTAGGTTGTGTCTTTCAAGAAATTGGTTCATTTCATCTAAGTTATCAAATTTGTGGACAGAGAGCTATTTATAATATTCCTTTATATATCATTATAAATATATAAAACAATAATATAATTAATATATAAATTATAAATATAAATTTTATATAATATATATTTGTAAAATAAATATTTTATATATTATAAATATATAAAATATAAAAATATAAATATATGACATATATTTATAAAATAAATATTTTATATGTTATAAATATATAAATATTGATATGATATAAAATATATGTTATATAAATATTTATATAACATGTTTTATAGCATATAAATATGAACATAAAATATTTCATAAATATTCTATTTTATATATCCATGGGATCAGCTGCAATGGCCTCTCTTTCATGTCTGATATCCATAATTTGTGTCTTCTCTCTTTTTTTTCTTGGTTACCTACTAGAGGTTTGTCAGTTCTATTGATCTTTCCAAAGAACCAATTTTTGTTTTCTTTGATTCTCTCTATTGTCTTCAATTTCATTCATTTCTGATCTAATTTTTCTTTCAGTTCTTCTGTCTGTGTTAGGCTTATATTGCTCTTCTTCCTCTAGTCTCCTAAGGTAGAAACATTGATTATTGATTTCAGATCTTTCATCTTTTCTTATGTATGCGTTCAAGGCTATAAATTTCCCTGTAGGCACTACTTTCACTGCTTCCCACAAATTTTAAGTTGTATTTTCATTTTCATTTAGTTAAGATAATTTTTAATTTCTCCTGAGAGTTCCTCCTTCACTGTGTGTTATTTAGAAGTGTGTTGTTTAATCTCCAAATGTTTTGGGATTTTCCACCTATCTTTCTGTTACTGATTTCAAGTTTACTTCCATTGTGGTCTGAGAGCATACTCTACATGATTTCTATTCTTTTAAATTCATTGAGGTGTGTTTTATGGCTCAGAATGTGGTATACTGAGTGAGTGTTCCATGTCAGCCCAAGAAGAACGTGCACCTTGTTGTTGTTGGGTTAAGTGTTCCGTAAATATCAATGAGATCTTGTCGATTGATGGTGGTGCTCAGTTTAACTATGTCTTTACTAATTTTCTGCCTGCTGGCTCTGCTAATTACTGACAGAGGATTGTGGAAGTTTCAGCTATCATACTGGGCTTATCTATTTTTCTTTGCAATTCTATCCATTTTTGCCTTGTGTATTTTGGCATTCTGTTGTTAGGTGCATACACATCAAGAATTGTTATGTCTTTTTGGAGAATTGCCCCTTTACCATTATTTATGGCTCTCTTGTTTTTTTGTTTGTTTGTTTGTTTTTGTTTTTGTTTTTGAGTTTTGCTTATGTCACCCAGGCTTTGTCTTGGCTCACTGCAACCTCCACCTACTGGGTTCAAGCAGCCTCCTAAGTAGCTGGGATTACAAGTATGCGCCACCACGCCCCGCTAATTTTTGTAGTTTTAGTAGAGATAGGGTTTCACCATGTTGGCCAGGCTGGTCTCACACTCCTGACCTCAGGGGATCTGCCCGTCTGGGCCTCCCAAAGTGCTGGGATTACAGGCATGAGCCACCGCACCTGGCCTAATGCTTCTCTTTATCCCCAGTTTTTCTTGTTCTGAAATCTGCCTTGGCCGCAGTTAGTATGGCTACTTCAGCTTGCTTTTGTGTTTTCATATTTTGGGTGGTAAAGTGTTTGGCAAAAATCTGGAAAGTGGATAACAGCACAGACATTTGAATCAGGCAAACCTGAGTGCAAGCCAGGTGACTTGTCAAGCTGGGTGACTTTGGGTAAATTCATTCTGTGCCTCAGTTTCCCTATCTACCAAATGGGAAACTATCTCTAGATTGTTGTGAAGATGAAATAGGACAATGTAATAAAACACTAAGCAATTTCCTGGCTTGTAATGTGTAAGTAATATGTTATATTGTTACTCTAGTATACATATTAATATATTCTATTATTAATATAAGCTCTTGATTGTTATATGATGGAACTTTAGATGTCTAAGTGCAAGTACTTTTATATAAAAACTGGACAGGGCACCCTGAGAAGATAAACTTAGAAAGTAATTGCGAAGTCTCAAGTGGCATGGATGTCTGGTTGACAGTGCCCTTAAAAGATGAAGACTTTGGCAAGGCACGGTGGCTCACACCTGTAATCCCAGCACTTTGCGAGGCCAAGGAGTGCGGATCACGAGGTCAGGACTTTGAGACCAGCCTAGCCAATATGGTGAAACCCCGTCTCTACTACAAGTACAAAAATTAGCTGGGCGTGGTGGCACACGCCTGTAGTCCCAGCTACTCAGGAGGCTGAGGCGGAAGAATTCCTTGAACCCAGGAGGCGGAGGTTGCAGTGAGCCGAGATCGTGCCACTGCACTCCAGCCTGGGTGACAAAGTGAGACTCCGTCTCAAAAAAAAAAAAAAGAAAGACAAAGACTTCAGTGTGCCCTGCAGCTCACAGCCGGATCATTTCCCTTCATCCCTCCAGGGTCCTGGGGCCAGGGGAACATGCAGTCACCTGCTTTGTGCTGAGCTTTGCTCAGCCCCTTATGAAAGTAAAATTACAGAGGAGCTTCTGTCCCCTGCCATCAGTTTGCAGATACACTGGCTGGGGCCCCTTTCCTTTGGGGAAACATGGTCTCACCAAGCCCCCCTCCTTTTTTTTTTTTTTTTTTTGAGATGGAGTCTTGCTCTGTCGCCCAGGCTGGAGTGCAGTGGTGTGATCTCGGCTCACTGCAAGCTCTGGTTCCTGGGTTCACGCCATTCTCCTGCCTCAGCCTCCCAAGTAGCTGGAACTACAGGCGCCCGCTACCAAGCCTGGCTAATTTTTTGTATTTTTTAGTAGAGATAGGATTTCACCATGTTGGCCAGGCTGGTCTCGAACTCCTGACCTCAAGTGATCCACTCATCTCGGCCTCCCAAAGTGCTGGGATTACAGGCGTGAGCCACCGCGCCTGGCCCGAAGCCCCCTTTTGAAAAGCAGGTCATCTGTGGTTAGGCAAATCCTGAGTAGCTTTTAAGAAGCAATGGAAATAACTAATCACATGGGAAATGTTTATTGTACGTCAAGGTTTTTAAAAAAGGTAATTAAAAAACTATGTATGTAGGTGTGATTAATTTTGTTTTTAAAAAAATTAAAAGAACGTAAGTATAGAAAAAAACGTGGAAGGATGTGAACCTGAATGTTAACCATGACTGCTGCTGGTTGGGGTGGGAGTATAAGTAACGGTAATGGCTTCTTTAGTGCTTTTCTCTGTTTCTTGTTTGGGCCATTTCTGCCTCCTGTCCTGGTACTGAGTGCCACCATAAGTACCCACGTGGAGTTAGGGAAATAAAAAATGGCCAATTCCTTGACCATTTCACTTTTAGTAAAATTTTTAAAATAATAATAAAAACAAACAAAAAGAAAAGAAAATGGTCAATTCCCCGGTCCCATATTTGCCCAATAAGACTCTCCCAAGATCCCTTTGCCTTTGTGTTGCCTGATTTCCCCACCCAACAACTTAGGTACCTGTCCCCAGGTCTGGTGTCAGACAGAGCACATATCCCAGCTCCTTCATGCACTAGCTGTGTGGCCTTGCGCAAGTCGCTTAACCTCTCTGATCCTCAGCATCCTCCTTTTAAAATGAGGATTGTCATGATGATCTGGCGGCAGCAACACAGGTAAAGCACTCAGCTCGAAACATTAGGGGCCGTGTCATTTTTGTTTTCACGGCTACGACTGTCCTTCTTCTCCCTTGCAGTCTCCTGACATCGACAACCACCATGCACTCATCGAATATAACGAGGCGGAGTGCAGCTTTGTTCTCCAGGACTTCAATTCCCGCAACGGCACGTTTGTCAACGAGTGCCACATTCAGAACGTGGCTGTGAAGCTCATCCCTGGAGACATCCTGAGATTTGGGTCTGCAGGGCTGACCTATGAACTGGTCGTTGAAAACCCACCTCCGGTGAGTCTGGGCCACTGGGGGATAGAGGGGCCGTGTCACCTTCGTGCAGCCCGGCACTCAGATGCAGCCGCAGGGTGGCGCTCATCCGCAGCGGTGCCACCGTGATCCCAGGCTGCACACAGGCGGTAGCGACAGAGTCGACCCTGTGGAGTTCTGAGTCATTCTGGCGGGTCCCAGGAAGGAGAGAATCTTAGCACCCTCTTCTGGGCATTTCTTGGAGTTGCATCTTGGCTCACATAGAACCAGAGTTTTCCAAAAATGTGCAACTTCCTGAGAGGAGGCAGAAAACAAGGTGCGTTTTTGAAAATGCAGAGATGGATTTCATTTTTAGGCAGATCAGCGCTCTGCTCCTTCCTAGCTCTGTGACCTGGGCCAGACTTCTTCACATGCCCAGGTCTCTGCCTTCTTAACGGCACAAGGCATCGAGAGAATGTCTGTAGAGCCTGAAACTCAGTGTCCAAGTAGACGCTCAACACGTGAGCACCTGAAAAGCCAAGTCTGTGAAGTCCGAGCCAGTGTTACCCTAAACATGTCTGATTGTAAGAATTTGAGGGCCGGACGCGGTGGCTCACGCCTGTAATCCCAGCACTTTGGGAGGCCGAGGCAGGCGGAACACGAGGTCAGGAGATCGAGACCATCCTGGTGAACACAGTGAAACCCCATCTCTACTAAAAATACAAAAAAATTAGCCGGGCGTGGTGGCGGGCGCCTGTAGTCCCAGCTTCTGGGGAGGCTGAGGCAGGAGAATGGCGTGAACCCGGAAGGCGACAGAGCTTACAGTGAGCAGAGATTGCGTCACTGCACTCCAGCCTGGGAGACAGAGCCAGACTCCGTCTCAAAAAAAAAAAAAAAAAAAAAGAATTTGAGGGGGACTGTTCAGTAAAATTACAGGTTCCCAGGGCCCCTCCATGGGAAATTCTAATTTTGTGACTTGCCAGTGGGGGAGGAGGAGGACGCATAATATCTGTATTTCTTTTTTTTCATACAGAGATATTTATTGAAGTATTATTTGTAGTGGCATAACATTTTAAACCTAAATGCCCATCAAAAGGGGCATTGTTTAATAAAATATAAGGGATTCATTCTTATGTGGATAACTATGCTGCTTTTTTTTAAAATGCAGCTTTATTGAGGTATAGTTGACATACAATAAAACTGTGCATGTCCAAAGCACATCATTTGCTAGGTTTGGGCACGTGGATATACCTGTGAAGCCATCACCACAACCAAGGCAATGAGTGCGCTCGTCACACTACAGGGTTCCTCATGAACTTAGCATTTGTTTGATTCTTTGTTTTCAACAGCTTTATAGAAGTATAATTTATGCAGCATAAACCCCGCCCATTTTAAGCATACAGTTCAACACATTTTAGTGTATTTACGGAAGGGTGCAGCCATTACCACAAGCCACTTTCAGAACATTGCCATCACCACGTCCTAGAAAGAAACCTGTGAGATACTTGACGTTTTGTGTTGGTTTGTGCAATTTTTAAAAAATTTATTATTATAGATTTAAGTTCTAGGGTACATGTGCACAACACGTCAGGTGTTACATCATGGAGAATACATGTGCCATGTTGGTGTGTGCTGCACCCGTTAACTATCATTTACAGTTGTAAATCTCCTATGCTGTCCTCTACCCCTACCCCTACCACACACCAAGGCCCTGGTGTCCAAGTCCACCCTGTGTCCAAGTGGTTCTCCCACTTGTTCAAGTTTCCACTGATGAAGTGAGAACATGTGGTGTGGGTTCCTGTCCTTGGTGATAGTTGCTCAACGATGATGGTTTCCCCAGCTTCCAATTCATGTCCTAACAAAGGGCATGACTCCATCTTTTTTAAATGGCTGCTATATTCCATGGTGTATATGGTGCCCACATTTTCTTAATCAGTCTTATCATTGATTGGACCATTTGGCTTGGTTCCAAGTCTTTGTCTTGTGATAGTGGCCACCAATAAACATACATGTGCTGTGTCTTTTATAGGCGCATGAATTTAATAATCTCTTTGGTAATATACCCAGTAATGGGATGGCTTGGTCAAAATGGTAGTTTCTAGTTCTAGAAACACATTGAGGAACTCGCCACATTTCTTCCACAATGTTGAACTAGTTTACAATCCCACCAACAGTGTAAACAGTGCTCCTATTTCTCCCACATCCCTCTCCAGCCACCTGTTGTCTCCTGACTTTTTAATGATCACCATTCTAACCCTGGTGTGAGATGGTATCTCATTGTGGTTTTTGATTTGCATTTCTCTGATGGCCGTGATGATGGCTTTTTTTCATGTGTCTGTTGTCGCGATAAATGGTCCTTTTTTGAGAAGTGTCTGTTGCATATCCTTTTCGCCCAAGCCTTTTTTGATAGCGTTGTTTGAATCTTTGTTCCTTGGTAAATCTTGTTAAGTTCTTTGTAGAGTTCTGGATATTAGCCTTTGTCAGATGGGTGATGGTAAAAAAAATTTTTCTCCCCATTCTGTAGGTTGCCTATTCACTCTGAATGGGTGAGTTTCTTTTTTGCTGTGCAGAAAGCTCCCTCTGTTAGTTTAATTATATAACAAAATCTTCATTGTCAATTTTGCTTTTGTTGCCATTGCTTTTTGGTGTTTTAGTCATGAAGACTTTGCCCTGCCTATGGCCTGAATAGTATTGCCTAGGTTTCTTCTAGGGTTTTTATGGTTTAAGGTCTACTTTAAGTCTTAATCCACCTTGAAATTAATTTGTGTATAAAGTGTAAGGATAGGCGATCCAGTTTCAGCTTTCTTCTACATGATGGCTACCCAGTTTCCCAAGCCCACCCATTTATTAAACAGGGAATCCTTTCCCCATTTCTTTGTTTTTGTCCAGCTTGTCAAAGATCAGATAGTTGTAGATTGTTGGTATTATTTCCGGGGCCTCTAACTTTTGGTTCCATTGGTCTTATAATCTCTGTCTCCTTGGTACCAAGTCACCATGCTGTTTTTGTTACTGTAGCCTTGTAGTGTACCGTTGTGAAGTCAGTATTGTGATCGCCTCCCAGCTTTGTTCTTTTGGGCTTACGATTGTCTATGGCATGCGGGCTCTTTTTTGGTTTTCAAGTGTGGGAACTTTAGTACTTTTGTCCAATTCCTGTCGAAGAAAAGTCATTGGTAGCCCTGATGGGATGAGAATTGAAATCTAATAAATTACCTGGCGCAAGTAATGGCCCAAAATTGTTCCACAAAATATTATTCTTCCCTAATCCCAATGACCATGGAAATGTTCTTCCCCATTTGTTTGTGTCCCTCTTTTATTTTTGTTGAGCCAGTGGTTTGTAGTTCCTTGAAGAGGTCCCTTCCACATCGCTTGTAATTGGATTCCCTGGGTATTTTATTCCTCTCTGAAGCATTGTGGAATGTGGAGTTCACTCATGATTTGGCTCTCTGCTTTGTCTGTTAATTGCGGTGTATATAGAAAATGTTGTGATTTTCTGCACAATTGATTTTGTATCCTGAGACTTTGGCTGAAGTTGCTTATCAGCTTAAAGCCGAGATGTTTTGGGCTACGACGATGGGCCGGAGTTCTACAAATACAATCATTATGGCAAACATGGGGCGATCTTTGCTTCCTCTTTTCTAACTGAATACTTTAATTTCTTTCC